ATTAGTTTACAGAGACCTGGGGAACATGCACTGCTGCAGATGAGTCACAGCATGATGCTGCATAACTCTACACTGCAAGAAAGCACCTCAACAATATCTAGACCCATCATCCCACTCATTGCCTTATAGGACACTTCAGGCTGCACTGGGAACACCTGTATTCCTCCCAAAGAACTGTGAAATCTTTATCATCTACATTCATGAAGTCCATTAATATCACCTCTCATTTTTTGTTCATGTCCCATTTCACCCTCTCTCCTCATCCTCTTAACCATTTCATCACAAAGGCTTCAGATTCTAAACAGATAACAAGAGCTCTTATACCTGCTTGGAAGATGGCATTTGATATGTCCAACTGTAACAATTTTTTCAGCAGCAGTGAAAGAATGAGACTAAACATAAAAACCACCACACCTACACTCCAAGCATTCACATACTAACTGTGCATGACAGAGCAGGGTTTTCAGGCCAGAACACCAAGAACCAAAACACAAAGCAAACTTGTGACAAGAAGTAACCTAGACCTTCTGAAAGCAGAAGGCCATATCACTGGAACTGTTAAGACAATTATCTCACTTTAACAACAGGAACAGAAGTAAGTTACTTTAGTGCCTCTTTCAATGAGTCTCAATGACCAAAGGCTTTTAAGTACAGATTATCAATCAGCTGGAATCTGAAAAAGAAACCTGTTGAAGTAGTTATGCAGGTACGTAACACTATCAAACAATGCAAAAATAATACAGGATTGTGACTCTACAAATTATAGACAATGGAGGAATTCTTCAGCAATTCAAGCTACCACAGGATTTACACCTCAGTTCACTTTTCTCCTTTGCTCAGCTGCTTCACAGACAATGCCAGTTTCACGGCTGCAGTGTTGTCAGAGAACACAGAAATGCCTCTCATCACCAGAAAAGTAGTTTGGGTTACTTTGTGTATTTAGAACTCCCCACACATACACAAAAAGTTGTGAAGTATCTTTTTTTCTAAACTGGCACTGCAATCACAACCATTTGAAAAGTACAAACCTAAAAGCAAAGACTAAACCAGAATTCTCTGACTGATAAGGCTAAACATCAGGCACTTCATGAGCAGCTAATAAAGATCTGCTTTTTAGCTTAAAAAGGAATACTAAAAATATCTCACAATGAGGATGGCTCATAGAACCTCAAAATGACATGTTAATCACTGCCGCTTGTTTTACATGATACTTATGAAGCAACAAGAGAAGCATTATAAGCTTCAGAAGAAAAAAAACAGAAAGACCAACTGCTGATTCTGAGCAACTAAAAGCATACACCAGAAACCAGCAGAAACTTTAGTCAAAATACTTCATCAACCATTACACAGGCTACAGAAAATTAATTTTATGTTAACAAATGTATAAAATACGGTAACTTCTTCAAAAGGTCTCTACTTTACAACAACAAAATAAATCAAAATCTAAAATTATTGAAATTTTATTGTGCAGTAGAAAAGTCCTTTTAAGACAACACTTAAAGCACCAGATTCTGAATTGTGATTCAGGAACCAAGAGTCAATACCTATACAACCTTAGTCTTTTTCTTTTTTTCCACTTGGATGAATGAAATGGATTCCTGCAACACACTTTGCTGTGTCTGTACAGGGATGGCAAAAGTCTAAGGAAGCATGGTTTAGGCAACACAATGAACACTACTCAATGCCTTTGAACAATAAAGTCTATATTAGTTTGTAGCACTTCATCTGCTTTTTCAAAAGCAGACTAAACATGTTTGCTTTTAGATCTGTCTGTTGTCTGTTCAACATGATGTCCCAGGTAGATCAGAGCACTTGTTCTTCCTTGTCTTTTTCCTTCTTCAACTCCAATTTACTGTTTCAGCAGACGGGCAGTCTTAAGGCTACCTCAGCTATACCTACTGGTAAACAAAACTCACAAGTGTTTAGAAAATTAACAAGTAGAAGAGGCAATAAAAAACAGATAATTTCTTTGACAGTATTTTAAAATATTGAGATTTGATTTAGAGAAATACTTAAGTTCTCCACACAGTGAATTTCAGAGTTGTAAAGACATGTAACATGCACTATAAAAATTAAGCTTCCAACAGAAATTGGCAAGCCTCACCAACAAATACCATAATCACAGTAATGGGGTGAGCTCTTTAAGAACTACAGGGAGGAACCCATTAAAGATACAACATCTTCCTATCCAACAAACTTCCAAATAAATCGTGTGAGATAGTAAAAAGGACACCTCAACACAGACTAGTCTCTAAAACTACACAAGTGAAGCTGAGGGTCTACAATATAACCTAATTTCTACGTGCTAAATCAAAGCCAACCCTACTGAATTAGGAAGAAAACAATTCCACCCCTTCTTGCTTCTGGAAATCCATACTACAGGAAGAAAAAAGTTCCATGCCACCATTTATTTCTAAAAAAAAAAAAAAGCAGTGCAGGCAAGCTGTTACTGGTTTAGTTTGGCTGCATGTTAAATAACAGTTCTCACTTCCTCTTCATAAAAGGGAAAGTTACTGTTCATTCTTCTGGTGTTCATAAGTCATTAGTAATGTCTTCCCCCAGACTGTTTTACAATGACTGAGGGGGGAATAGTTTGGACCCAAACAGCCCAAAGCCAAAAGCAATTATCACAAAGTAAAAAGCATACCTAACTGCTTGATCCATCAAAACACATTCAAGAAGGCTGGGCCAAAACCCATTCATTCCACAGAACTAGAAAACTACAAATGCCAATAAATGTTAATACAACTACCCGCTTCGGAAGTCAATTCCTTCTGTCTTACTACCTATGCTCAGTTCCATTTTTCAATGATAAAATACTGTTAAATGGCACACATACTGAATTCCTTTCCTAAACAAACATGTGGCTCACAGTATTTGAGAGCTCCCAGCTTGCCCACTTCCTCTTTTCCCACAGTAGGCATTACTTGTCTGTACCATGAGAGTTTCTTCCTCCAGGGTGTATCTCGAAGGGAACACTCTTGTAGGTCTGCAGGCATATCTAAACTATACAGTGAGCCAGGCTGCCAAGAAACCAAAACCAGTTTTAGAACCAGTAAAGCCACCATCAACTACATTGTTTCCAGAATATGAACAAGTACCATGGTACAGGCCTACACTGATAGCAGCTGGTCCACACATTTCTGCGTGGCTCAGACTTAACAAAGGAGCCTTGTGTTCCCACAGGATGGTATGCAAGACCTGTTCAGAATACTGCCTACCTTCACATTGCAAAAGCAGCTAGAAAAATAGGTTCAGCTCTTCTGCTGGTTTCCCTCTGCTTTTTTTTTTTTTTTTAAGATGATGCAGTTCCTGATTTTTAATCAGCATTGCTGTTATTGCAATATCTCACACTGCACTCTCTCCCCAGACAGAGGTAGTCTTTGCTGGGAAAAATTGACGCACAGCTCTCAGTCACCTTTGGATATAGCCACTCCTGAAAGCAAGTGTGCTTGTATAGAAAGAACATTTTCAAAACAAAAGGAAAGGCAAAGGGTGGGGGGGGGGGGGGGGAGGGGAAATATAAGACTTCCTGAACAGTCAAGAACGGGGTAGAATCCGTGGGATTCTACAGGGATAAGGAATAGTATTGAAATAAGATTTTTGCAACAAGCCATAAAAAAATACTTCTATAATTAGAAGACATCATTATATCAATGTTCAGTTTCGGCTAAGTCAACTTATAAGGCAGGGTGCATTGTTACAACTTCTATTCAGCAGTGAAAGTCTGCCTAATGCTGCTTTTCTTCCTTCTAATTTTTTTCAATCTTGCAATTAGATAGCAGACATTAGAAACAGTGCTTGACCATTTCCCTTATAATGAAGCAAGAACTGCAAGTAAAGGTCACATTTTATTTTCTGAAACCAGAACTTTATTCCAGCATCTCTTCAATAAATGTTGTTGACTCAAAAGATTAGGAACATGTAGGAAAGCAATAAAAGTGTTTTTTTGATTAGCCTAAGTAACAGCTGTCAAAGGCACTGTGAAAGCAGATAATCTTCCACCTTCATGAATATTTCTGTATTTTTCCTGAAGTTCGTAAAAGCTTCCCATTAAACTAACAAATTCTAGCAACACAGAGGCATTGATTTAGAAATCAGTTCTTGCAAAATATTTATGGAACTTTGTTATTTTTTGTGTAGCATAAACAATATTAATTTTAATTTCAAGAAACATTTGAAATTTGGATTATGTTAAGCAATTTACTATCACTGAGTAACTACACTGTATAGGACAAAAAGATATTAAATCCCTTCTTGGCATTCTATCTGAACTTCACGGATGACTGATTTTTCAAGAAATCATGTTGGTTTTTTTCTTTTTAAAGGGATTGACAAGAGATACTAGAGAAATGTTGGGAAACTTTATATTGGCATTTCCCCTACAGAAAGATGGACAGCATGAGCAATAGGTTATGCACTGGATGCTATAAGTCTTAACTGCCACTTTATCAAGAGCAAGACTCTGGTCTTTTGTCTCAGTGCACATCTTTGACAAGGAAGTGACCCCATTTTCTCTGTACCCTCCAACTGGGTATTGCTGTCTGCAACTAGGATCTTCCATAAGCCTTCTCTTCTTAAGGCTGAAGGAACCCAGTCTCTCCTCATACATCGTGTGCTCCCTAGCCATCCATCTTGGTGGCCCTCCACTGCACTCACTCCACTACACCAATCTCTCTTTTCCTGAGAAGCCCAAAACTAGGTCCAAGCTGGATCACTGGACACAGCCCTCCAAATGCTGTCTCACAAGTACCACATAGAGCTAGAGGATCATTTTCCCAGACCTGCTGGCTATACTTCGGCTAACACAGCCCAGGACACAGTTTGCCTTTTTTGCTACCACAGCACATTGCTGACTCATGTTCAGCTTCTTGTACCTCAAACCCAAAATCTTTTTCTGCAAAGCTGCTTTCTAGTCAGCCTGCCCAGCCCCACCTTTACCACCAGCTAGGGTTATGCCAACCCTAGGATTTTGCATTTGCCTTTGCTAAGTGTCATACTGTTTCTGCTAGCACTTTTTCTAGTCTTTTAAGGTCCCTCTGAACCACAGCACTGGTTTCCAGCCTATCAGCCACCTCCTCCAGTTTGGCATGGTCTACAACTTGCTGAAGGTACATTATATCAAGTCTATTCAAGACATTAAAGAGATCTGTTCCAGTATGAAACCATGAGACACATTATCAGTAATCCATGCGGTAGCAGAGCACTTTCATATACACGTCCCCAGTAGCATCACTACATTGAGGTGAAAGGCAGTTGCCCTTTTCACCACCTCATATTCTCACACACAGCTACCATATTTGCAATACTTGCACTGAGTTCCAGCTTCATTAACAGCCTATAAAAGGAGAACATTCAACAGATGGACTTGTGAAAACTTACTTTAGCCAGAATTTGTAGCCCATATTTTTGTTCTGTTGAACAAAACTGAAGTTTCCAGAGGTCGTTAAAAACATCAGCTTAAAAAGAAGTTACCTAATTTCACAAAGAAGAAACCACACTGGGTAATTTCTGCCTACCACTTCAGCATTGGGGTTTGTTTGTTGACTTAATATATGTATATACATACACACAAATAAAGTAAATCAAGACATCCATTTAATAATGACCAGAAACTAGCAATTTCATGTACAGTTACCAAAATTACTCTGCAGGTATTTCTGTCCCAGCTACTGTAATATCTATTCAGTTTTTAGTTCTCAGTTTCAGATTCTAGAATAGAAATAAGTCTACATCTAAAGTTATGAACACTTAATTTTCTAAAAAGAGAAGGTATCAAAAATTTTAAGTAGTTCCTTCCTTTGCTGCACCCCATCTTTCCCACACTTCTGCCAATAAAATTCCAAAAGCACAGGACAGCCATCTGAATCTTCACAAGCCAGAAGCAGCTTCTGAAACACTATGCATTAGAGAAATTAAGGTAAAGAGAAGTTAAATTTAAGAAAGCCATAACAAGCTAAAACTGAAAACTCATTTGTAGCCTTACACAGACAGTTGTCACAAACAAGGCTTTTTGGACCAGCACTCCACTTGTCTGAAAAGAGCACACCTACTCCAGAGCTGATCTATTAATTGAAGAATCATCTGGGTTCCATAAAATAGCTCAGCACTCGAATAACTCAGTATGTAGTTTCTACTTAAAGACAGAAAGATCAACTGCAAAAAAGGAAAATTACATGTAACAGTTTAACAATATCATGAGATGTTAAAGAAAGAAACAACCATTTTGTGAAATCAGGAATAAAGTACTGCTAGCAAAATATCAGGAAAGACAGCTTTGCAGTCTTTCAGTACAAGCAGGATGCAAGTTTAAATACAAGACAGATCAAAACTTGAATTAATGAATAAAATTTAAATTTTTACTGACTAGTGAAGCTACACAGTATTCAGATAATAGTTCTCCATTGACACAGAACATCAGTCTATCTACAGCTTTCTACAGCTTTTCTTTCAACACGTTTTGCATCAAAATGATGAAACGTGGCCAGCACAACCACAAGTTCAGGTTTTTTGTTTAGGGTTAAGGAGCAGGGAGGGGTGGAACAAGATTGACAAGGAGTATCTTTAAGTACTTGAAGAAAAGAAGAAATAGCATTTTCTGCTTTTTCAAATGTACAAAATACAATCCTGTATCATCCCACTGCCATCACACTAATTGTCCCTCACAAACCAAAGGATCATGCACACATAGTTCAACTCTGCTCCAGCAGCAAACACACACATCACTAAGTGACAACACATTTCCTTCCTCTCTCTCTTCCTTGGGTTCCATCAGTTACAATCAGACAACCAGTTAGATTCTGCATAAGAATTAAAACTTTTCCTTCTGCTCTTATGAAAAGTTTTCAATTAAGTTTAGCAAGCAAAACACCCACAAAAGACACTGCAGGACATCTATTAGATGTCTGCCCTGTCAAGAAAACCTAACAATTCTGAAAGCATTCATCTTGTAATCATTCTGCTTAATCCCAGGAAAACACTACCTCATCACCTGCAAATCAGAAAGAGATCAAAGAGGGATTTAAACAAGTGTAATTAAGACTAAAAAAATTTGATGACAGCTGGACAGCTCTGAACATTCATCCAAAAAACCTGAATTATGTGACTTGTCTGATATTGTTACCTGTAATTTTGTATCCATATGCAGCCAGCTGCCCAGCCATATATTCGCCATCTGAATTATTATGAGAACATCCCCATGTACGAATCCAGATTTTCTGAGCACCAGGAATAATGCTGTTAAACAAAAAATGAATGAAAAAGGCAAGTTAAAAGATGAGCAAGCTTCCCCTTTAAGTTCACTGAACACACTCAATTAACTGTAATTCTACAAATATAAAATAAGCAACACAAACAGTTACAACTCCAAAACAGCTGGGGAAGAACATCATGATTATGTGGTTTTAGTGTAGTGGGTATTAGGTCTGGCTGACATGGAGTTAACTTTCTCCACTGAAACTCACAGCATGCTGTGTTTTGTACCTGTAACTAAAACAGTGTTGATAACACATCTGTGTTACAGTTATTGCTGAACAGTGCTTGCACAACACTAAAAACTTCTGTTTCCCACTGTGCTCCACCACAAGCAGGCTGGGAACAGACAACAGGTTGGGAGGGAACACAGCCAGGACAGCTGACCCAAATTCACCAAAAGGATAATCCATACCAGGTGGCCTTGTGCTCAGCAACAAAAACTGGGGGTTTGGTCTTTCCAAAGCAGCCATCATTCTGAGACTGGTTGGGCATCAGTCTGCTTGTGGGAGGTGGTGAGTGATTGTTTTTTGCATCACTTGGGTTCTGCCCCCCACCCCCCACTCCCCTTTCCTTCACTGTATTTATCCACAAGTTTTCTCTCTTTTGCTCTACCAATTCTCTCTCCCAGCCTACTGGGAGGGGGAATGAGCAAGCAGCTGGGTGCCTACTCCATTGCTGGCCAGGGTCAGCCCACAAGTGGCAAGAAAAGAGTTTTAGAATGGAGAAGGATCAAGAGCTGTACGATAAAAAAGAAATTCAGTGCACTGAAGTTACAAACTTCAGTACACAAACAAGTACCTTTCTGAAAATTGTATCATTAACAGATGACCTTGAAGTGACTGCACTGAAGTTAGGCCACCAGCAAACAAACTGTTCGAGCTAAACTGAAACCTTTTGATATTATCACACCCCTTCATTGTAGTTCCCTCCATACAAGACATCTTTATAAATTCTTAACTTAAGCCTGCCACCAGCCACACTAACATCTGAAGGCTCATGTCCCAGCCTTCCTGGGCTACCACCACAGCATGGTGTATCTGCACCATGGAGCTAGAGCGCACAATGGTTTAAGAACCAACAATAAATTCTGCAAGAAGCTCTCACTGAAGTTCCTGGGATAACTGTGCCAGTGAGCTAAAGATGCCAGTACAAGAACAACACGCATCCTAGAACACAATCCTTTACCCTGCCCACATCTCTTTTTTTCTTCCACCCAGGCTTCTTTTTTTTTTTTAGAGGTATTTCCCCTAGCTAGGAATAGAAATTTGTTGATGGAAGATTAATGATCATTAAGTAGGCATGTGCAACACACGTTGCACATGTACATTGTATTTAGACTTCCTACTGTCTAAACAAGATACATTCAACATGCTTTCTTGGGTCAAAACCACTAAAATACAGCTTGTTAGATAACATATAGTACCTAAATACTTAGGAGAATAGAGTGCTAGTGAGAAGTATCTATAGACTGCCAGTTCAGCTGTACATACACTCCTGGCAGAATGGGGGTCAATGCACCTTTATGGGGCTTCACAGAAAGGTGCATTGGTATGCTTAGAAAATCTCTTTTGAACACTAAAGAAAAACCAAAATTGAATTTCCTGTGCATTCCAGACATACTTTGTTTTCATTTTTATAATGTGGGGAAATTTTATCCACCAGCTTGAAATTAATGGTAGGGACCCAAAATCCAGTTTGAAACGGCAGTAGAAACTAGAATAAATAACCGAATTCACCTATACTTTAACCAATTCCACTGCAGCAGAAAATTGATTCTGTTCTTATTGGAATCACAAGAAGGAAAAATGCAAAGATATGTTCTTTAGTTACTGCATACTATTTCCACTGAAATAAAACAGTATGTTCAAAAGAAGTCTCACTGTTTCACTTGCAGGATGTACATACAAATAGTACAGCCTTTGGAAATCCCAGGTTCCAGAAACCAGGTGCAAAAACTGAAGCAAGGGAGATGTACCCTTGGTGGGAGAGGATCAGGTGAAGGAATACTTCAGCAAACTGGACATATGCAAGTCCCTAAGATGGGATTTACCCACAAGAGAAATATGGACGTACTGAAGACAGTACAACAAAGGGCCATGCAGATGATTAAGGGACCGGAGCATCTCTCATAAGACAGGCTGAGACAGCTGGGACTGTTCACCCTGGAGAAGGCTCGGGGGATCTTATCAATGTATGTAAATACCTGAAGGGAGGGGCCAAAGAGGACAGCTCTCTTCAGTGGTGCCCAGTGACAGGAGCAGAGGCAACAGGCACAAACTGGAACACAAGAGGTTCCCTCTGAACATCAGGAAACATTTTTTCACTGTGAGGGTGACCAAGCACCAGCACAGGTTACCCAGGGAGGAGATACTCAAAAGTTATTTAGGCACAGTCCTAGCCAACTGGTTCTAAGTGGCCTTGTTTGAGCAAGGTCATCTCCAGATGACCTCTAGAGATCCCTTACAACCTCAGCCCTTTGGCGATCCTCAGAATTTTGTTTATATTTCTCATTCCAGATGTCAAAAGGCTACTCCAGGACTGCATTTTGAAGAGCTCTGCTTCTATTGAGGTAATTAACATGAAGCAGGCAATTTTTCATAAATGTTCCACACATAAAAGCTTACATAGCAGGAACCGTTTTTCCAGCCTGATTGCTCCATTAATTAATATCTCAGTCATAACTGATTTCTACAGAAAATTTGTCTAGGACAAGAAATTTGCTTAGGATTTATTATTCATTACTGCTACACTTTATAAACGCTGTTTTACTCATTTTTCTCTTCTATTCATATTTTACATTATGAGATAATAAGAACTTTCACCTTATTTTTAGAAGCTGACAGTGCACACAAGATATGAGAGAAGCCATGAGAGAGGATTGATGGAGGAGTTTACCTGTCACTTGGGGGATCATCATCTGTCTGATTTTTTTGTGAAATGCGTTTTCGCACTTTTGGAAAAACGTTCTTTCTTATAAATTGCCGATCATGTGGTTTCAAATCTTCTGCTGACACAATATCTTCAATATCTTCAAGCACTGAATCACAGGCAGCAGGCATCTTCAAAAAGCCTTAGAGAAGACTGGTATTAGCAAGCGTTTGAATACAAAACGAAGGTCTAGTTATCTACTGCACACGCTCTCATAAAAAAAAGTCAGATATATTTCTACATATACCTGCAATAAATGATGCATATGAGGGATACTGAGCACATAAAAACAATCAACTATCCAGAGGTATTTCCTGATGTCCTCTTCCCCTGAGACCCCTCAAACACAGGTAGGGAGAAAGCCACGAACCATATAGATTTTTTTTTTTAAACATCTGTACCTTGTTATCTTCTAAATCAAAAACCCTGCAGCTTCTCTGACATGATATATCCAAGATAAAAGTATTCTTAATGTCAGGCATCATCATGAAATAATGATTTCACGTTATGTGATTGATATGCTTCCACTCACATCACAGAAGAAGAATGAAAGATACAGCATTCAAGTGCCTGCTTCAGAGGCTGTTCTGGCTCTTTCATTTGCATGCTGAAAATAGGTGCATGGTAGTTCAATAAGTCTTCATAGTCCTTTTGAAAACGAACCGAACTATTCCTAGAATGCCTCATCCCACAGGCCTTTCATTTGAATTACTTCATTCATCAGACAGCAAAATAACAACTCCTGTCCTCATGTACAAGATGTTAAACAACTATACCTAGCTAATATAAAATAGCTAGATTATCATCTGGCTAATATACTAGAAGATCATTAAAATATAATTATGTTTGCCACAAGAAAGTAAATATATATGCATATATATCTCCCAGCAGATCTCAAGATCCAGAGGAGCTTTCAGGAAAGAAAGAAAAGTTATTTACTAAAGGAGCCTATAAAAAAGTTACTGCATTAATTACATGTCTCACACTGTGCTATATGTAATTCTTAATCAGAATAAAGTCTAATTTACCATTGGAAACTTGGGTTAGTGTATGTCTCAACAGTTTACTAAGGCAATCACACAAGGGCATTTCAGAGTTTACAGGAAAAATACAATACTTTCCTAACTGACAGTGAAGAACAAAGTAAACAAAGCTTTAATTTCTTTAAGACCAGATTTCACGAACAGAAAATTCAGGCTACTGGCCTACAAAATACTTTCAGGTGTTGCAAGTGAATTATTAAAGAACATAAGTTAAACACCTGTGCATTTTCCCTGTATGAATGCTTCAGTCAATCTTGCAAAATGTACTTTGAAATAAAACTTCATATAACCTGAACCATTAGATATCTGCATTTAACTTTAAAATGAATATAACAATGTCACAAAGAAGATGCCTCTGACAAAGACATTTAAGCGTTTAGTATTCTTCTAGATCAAAAGTCACTGGACCTATAAAAAACACAGCAAACGATGAACTAAAATAAAAAGCTATGAAAACATTTAGCGATAAAGACTACTGGAGGTGGGGGGAGGTGACATCCCTTACACTTCCTTATGCCACTAAGAGTATGTACAAATAGGTAAAGTTATCAACTCAATACAGGGAAGGAAAAAAGGTTTTGATTTGGGTTTTTTTGCTCTCTTCCAGAAAGATATCTGTTATAATGGAGCAGCTAGCAAAACAAGTAATCTTAGTTTATTTCAGTGACCCACAAAAGAAATAATATAGCCAAAATAAAATTCATACCTTTTTAAGCTTGGTCTAAATCCTCTTGGATAATAATACTGGGGAAAAAAAGAAAAAATATATGGCATGAACAAGCAGAACTAGCAGACAGAAAACTATGAGTTCATGTTACTGCCCAACCAGCATTCATCCTCCCTTTGCAGAAATCTGCTTCTTGCTCAGTTTGACCTCGTTAAGACTGGGTACACATGCTGACTGGCTGCCAAGGTGGAACAGTCCCTGTCCTCCCCTGAACACAGGCACTAATCTTTTTGCCTTTCTTTTACAGAGTCTTTTCTGCCAAAGTCCAAAGTTCTTCCACAGTTTTCCTCCCCCGGATTTATGTCTTCAATCAGGAGTTTAAAATTTTGAATGAAAGAAGGGAAAACAATTTCTTAAGTTTAGTTTCCTTCAAGAGTTTGATTAATAACAATTTTTAGCTTAGCTCTTTAGCTAAGACAGTCAAAACTTTTTTATAATTACACAGTAAAGTCTTTTCAGAACAGAATACTTGATATCTGCACTAGTTCCATACGCATGCATGAGATCTGTTCTTCACAAGCAAATAAATAAATTCCTGCAGGCACTCTGACAGGCTGACTGAATTAAGAGGCAATAATAAAATTAGAAGTTAATGTATTCTCCTTATACTACCAAGTTGTAGCTACATTACATTTCTCTTTAAAAAGCGTTAGTAAATAAAAACCAATGAAAGCGTCTTTAACATCTTGACACAAACAAAACCTCCCTCATCCCAGTCTAGTTAGATCACCCGTCTTTGATCTTCTTACGTATACCAACGGAGTGCTTCTTTCCACAGACAAAATTTCCATCCAGATGGCAGAGTGCTGCTCTTTCCTCTATTTACCAACAGGTGTCTCCGGTAAAGCCCCAGGCTTTTACCCCCAGGCTTGCACCGAGCCAAAAAAAAACCTGTAGCGTTAATATAAAATAACAACGACCTACCACCCAGCCTGGCTCGCCCCCAGGTGCCCTGGGCAATCTTGTTCCGTGCCCGCGGGCAAGCGGCAGCCTGGTCACC